TTTTGTTGGAATGTCTGTTTCAGTTTTCATCCTGTGTTGTCATTTATAAAGGGTGTTGTATGCCCTCTGAGGGAAACTTGTGATCCTCTTGACTTGATTTGACTACTTTTAAAATAAATAGATGCATTTGTCAGAGTGCTGTTAATAACATCTTGAAACAATTTGCTGAACTCACATTTCTGTTATTTGCACCAAAATATGATGTAAAGAAAATATTAAGGCATGTAATGCTTCATAAAATCACACCATTCAGGTTTTTTTTTTCCTGCAGATATAAAAGGACGAAATGAGAGCGCGTAGTCTTATAATCACCCTCTTATCCCTCTGCTACATTCCTCATTCACTTGCATGGTGTAGTTATGAATGTGTGTTGCTCACTAATTGGATTAGTACTATACATTTTCAAATCCACAACAATGAGGTAAGCCTCCAGCACATGTGTTGATAGATGCACACGTGCACATTCTTGTATTAGTGAATGTTTGCTGGTGTGATCATGGTATGCATATGTGGGCGTGCACAATTGGTGTACTGAGGGTTTTAGTGTGCACGAGGGAGGAGATACAGGCGGCGGAGCTGTAGAGCTGTGAGCAAAGAGATTCCCTTTGTGTTGAGTAAACATCAGTGACCTGAAACAAGACAAGTGTGCATTCTCAGAAATGAGTGTCTGTTATTTGGAGGGCATCCTCAAAGCATTTTGTTAACAGGTATGTGCAGTTCTAGTATTCTGTTATTTACTTTGCTTTTATTGAACTTGAAATTCTCCTACACATACATCCATTATATTCCAATCGGGTAAATGTTTACCACAATAGAAATTGACTGTGTGACAGAACTTACTGTGAACAGCCAAGTCCGTGCAGACCAGCTTTTTCTGGTGTTACTTTCTGCCACAATGACTAAAGCATATCAAAGTAAGTGACTGTAAAATGTGCAAAGAACTATGTCAGCAACCATTAGATAGCAGCAGAGCTAATTCTAATTAGGGATGAAGTTGGCTGCATTTATTTAAATTAATTTGCATTTTTGTCAAATGCCCTCAGATCTTTAACAACCTTAGGACACTGCTGACCCCAAAAAAGGAGGGCAAGTTTATTTGTAAGGCCTGTCGCAGATGTATTTTTAATGATGATCATGATTTTGCTGTTCTTTTGATAAAGTGAGCCCCTCTGTAGATAATGAAGAAAACATAAGTCTGTTATGTAATGGGAGTTTTAAGCCGCAATCTCTTGCAACCTCACTTACCCAATGAGAGTGCTGGAGAACCTTTGGTTAAATTCTGCCAACTTTCTCCGAGCATCTCAGAAAATACAACAGAACAGCATGTCTTATTAGATATATAACACCATTAGTTTGTTGAAGCAAATATACATAAGTGAAATATCTCATTAGGGCATGCTAGAGTTTACACCCAGAGTGGTCAGATTACATTACCATACCACAATATCAATGAGGGGCTTGTTTCCCTACTGTAGCATTGCGGGATCATTGTATTAATGGATCTGAACTTGTTTGTTTTCAGCAGGATTTTCAACAGAATCAGCAGGTGTGGGTGAGTGAAACCGTTTAAGCAGAGATTTGCAATAGATTTCACTTAAACCATCAGAACAATCGCCTTCTCACTGTGGCAAAATGCTCATTTTGACGCTCTGTTTCACAAGGACACTTCACATTGAGAACTCTGAATCAGTGAGTGACATATAATGCTACCTTTATGAATTGCATGAGAGTGAGTCTGTCAACATGTGGTCTATTGTTTAACAGTGCCAGTGGTAGTTTACCCAAGTAATACCTGAATATATAAAGTCCAGTTATTTTCTGTATCTGGAGTGTCTATCAATAAAACCTAAGCAATGGTTAAGGTTCAGTCTCATTTAGACACAGTGATAACTGTGTGGGAATGCCATCGGTCTCATTCTCACTCCCACTCACATCTCATGAGAAAACGGCCAGTCTGACAGCAGCCAGGGTACGTTCAGAGTCAATAAGCTGTTTGTTCATCATGCAGAGACAGGACACTATATTCATGTTTTTACACAGTGGCACAGTCCCCCTTAATCTTACATTCTGTTCCTTTAAAAGAGTTTGAAATGTTAACAACCAGTATTACTCTATGCCCATCAGATAATTAGTGATATTAATTGTAAATCAAGAAACAAAATGATGTGATTCCTTAACTCTCATATTGACATAGTTTTCAACTAGCCTATGCACTTCAACAGCACCATAGAATTCCTGAAATTCAGTTACGGCTTTTTGTTTTGGTGTGCCACCTTAAGATTTTCAGTGTCCCCATCTGGCCATCCCTGTGGAAAATTTCTGGGGCACCACTGTTTTTACAACAGAAGATATTGTTGAAATGAAATGACAGCAATACAGTTTCACCAATGACAGTGAGACAGTCACCAGTCACTCACTAAACCAACAACTGTTCATTGTGTCTGTCTTAGCTCCCATGACTCACTGCCTCATCCTAATTTACCCAACTTAGGCCATGTTGTTCTGCTGTGGTGCCTACATGTTCTGCCATCATTGTTTCATCAGTGTTCCCCATCCGTCCTGCCATGTCATGCTGTCAGTCCCTATTATCTCTACATGAAGGGGGAGCTGTACCGTGACTATCTATTGTATCTGTCCATCCATCCTAAATCATCATCAGAGACTAGTCGTCTCCCAGTGCTGTGATCTATGTCCCCCTTAATGATCAGTCACAGTTGGAGTCCAGCCAGAGTGGCTTGGCAGGAATCAACATAGATGGGCATGAGCGTTTGTGAAGAAGAACAACAACAGAGGAGTTTTGTGTGCATGTGTGTGTGTATAAGGGATGTGGGGTGGGCAATAATATTGATACAGGGCAAGTTTGAACTAATGACCAGAGAGACAGTGTGTGTATTGAAGAAGAAAAGAGGAGCTGGACTCTGCTTTAGTCACCCTGCAGTCAATCCTATTGTTATTTCAGATTGTGTGTGTGCTCTATGTGTGTGCGGTGCTGAGCCATTCCCCAGCCTGTAAGCAGATTACAGAAAGGTGTGTTCAGCAGAAAACTTTATACGTTGCACAGCGGAGTACAGTAGCTACTACCTTACAGCCAAAGCCCAGCACAAAGTTATAAACTGGCTGCCTGTCATGCAGGAACAAGAGCACTCAGCTTCTGCTATTAAAAAGACAGGGCACAAACACAACACACATCCACTGGATTGCTCTAATCTTGCACCAGCTACCACAGTTCTTTGCAAAAAATACACAAATGGGTGACAAGTTAAAAGAAAATCATAAAGTGTCATATGGTGTTTTGCTACCACAAGCTCCAGACAAGATGAAAAGCAACTGTTTGTACTATTCTTTATTCATTTTGTATTTTCAACATTTCTTTTTAAATGTCAGTTCCTATTCTACTAGTTGCAGCGTTGCAATGCAGGTTGATTGAGGTTTGAAAACAAAAACGGAAACAAAGCACTTAGCATTTCAAAACTATTCCACTCTAAATGTCACAGTAAATACAGTTTGATGGTTAATCATCTTGGAAATACTACAGCAAGTCATTTCATCTGCGTCAAAATAACGGGGTATAAACGGGTGGCGATGTTTATTGAGAACTGTGTTAATCACTCGGTTGTTCCCCCTTTCCCCTCTGTGTTCCTCTGCTTTCACTCAGACTGACTGGCTGGAGGCCGAACATCCTGACTGCTCTAAACGCTTTTACATCAGCAGACTTGTCACCATGGCAACAAAGCCCGTGGCCTGCCAGGAACAGGGTCATGTCAACTCACAAGATGAGTGGGTCAATGAGTTCTGGGCACAAGGTGAAGTGGGTGCAACCATGAGCCACAACTCCCCTTGGCAAGACAGAAAGGCTCCTAGGGCAGAACCTGAAGAGGATATGGACGTCCTGGAGCCTGGAGCTGAAGAGGAAACGCTGGAAGGGGACCAAACACTCTCAAGAACCAAAACAGCTGATACTACTGAATGGGAAAATCGGGAATCAACAAGAATTAGTCTGTCCTCCTCCAGGGAGACGCAAGAGATGGTGACAGAATCGGAACAAGTTGCCCAACTATCACAGGCTCAAGAGGAATCTAAAAAGTCTGTTGATCCATATGAGGATGCTTTCCCACCTCCTCCTCCTCCTCATCCCCTTAGTGCTTCATCAACAAATGAATGTTTTGAGAAAGAGAGTTTTTCCAGCCTAGAGGGGGAGGAGTGGATCAGCGACACTGAGATTATATCAGACCCAACAGAAGACCTTACGCCTTCCAATGAAAATAGTCAAGAATGGCCTCACACGCCGCTCCTCGCTGAGCCAGTAAATACTGAGGTAGAGTCATCATCTGAGGAGATGATGGGAGATAATATGACAACAGAGGACAATCAGCTGCACATCTCACCAGATGGTTTTGACAACAGTGAGCTTGAAAATAATGTGCCTTGGGCTGCAGCTGCTGGAATAAATAAAACTGCTCATCATTCTCCCTCTGACAGAAACAGCTCAGATGATCTATATACTGTGTGCTCTCCTCCTTTTGCTGATGAAAGTGAGGCAGAGGAGGAAGTGAGCAGTGATATAATGTCTTGTCAGCAGCAATGGACTACACTGAATATCAGAGGCAAGACTTTCCAACCCTCATATTCTAGCAATATTTCAGTTTCCATTGCACTAGATCCAACATCAACTTTTCCTGAAGTTCCTTCAGCCAAACAGCAGGAGGAGCTGTTAACCCAGAGACAAAGTCAAATTGCCCCCAGGGGAGCAAACCAGGAAGCTGCACAACAGGTGCTTGGCCAGAGCTCTTCACCTTTGTCGGCTGTTGCCATGGAGCTGTCCAATCAGGGCGGGGCAATTTCTCAAGGCTCTGGTTGTGTTATAGCTGTGAGAGAAAGGCACAGCAGGGCGGGGGGGAGGACAGAGGGAGAAAGCAAGCAAACAGGTGGCGAGGGAGGGCAGAAGGAGTGTGGACTTGAGAGGAACAAGGCGGTTGAGCAGCAGCACGGCAGAGGACTTTTAAAATTTTCAAAAACAGTCCATACACAAGAGCTGAAGACAGAAAAACACAGCTTTGTGTCTTCTAAACACACCAGGATGGAGAGTGACTCATGCGATGATAGCCAGAGTGACAGTGGAGTTTCAGCAGACTTCTCCCCATGCAGCACTTTGGAGGGCAACACCACCATCACTACAGGTACCCCAGCACCTGCACTTAAAGAGACTCCCATTGAGAGGGAGATCCGACGGGCTATAGAGCGTGAGCACAGCCTGAGAAGGTCCAGGGGGCTTCCAAACCCACCCACCTCCCCAGAGTATGTAGAGATCCCTTTAAGGAAAACTGTTCTCTGCCAGTCAATAACTGCTAAGTCTGAGAGGTGTCAAGGCAAAGACAGGCAGTTTGCAGGCAAAAAGATGCAGCATGACATCCATGCGGAGGTCCAGAGGGAGCAGGATCTGGTCAAGCTTGGGAAAGTTCCAGGTGTCTACGACAAAGGCACTGTACGCCAACTCAAAGAGAGGAAACAGCTTTTTGAGGCCTTTCAGAAACCCAATGACTCAACTTTGACTGTGCCAGCCAGGAGTAAGACCACATCCTGGTCCTCTGCCAGTGACATTTCAACCTTGGAGGACAACTCATCGCAGGCATCCACCATAGAAGGCTCATATGTGGAGAGGAGCCCCACGCAGAGCCCAAACTTAGCCAAAGGAGGGGGTTCTACTTCTTTAACTCCCCAAGGACCAGGGTTCTCTGAGGGGGCAGCCTGTCAGGTTATCATCCTAGAGAACAATCTGAGTGTCCCAGCACAGAAGCTCTACCACACCAAACCAGAGACTGTCGTCGACTCTGGAAGCCTTAATATCTCATCATCCAGGACAGGAGGACATGGTGGGATTGAAGTGAGAGAGCAGGAAAAGGAGGAGAGGGAAGAGGAGGAGGTGTCACCCAAGGAGAACCCCTTTTTTAAACTGCGCTCCTCAACAAATGGAGTTAAAGTGGAGCAGGACATCCGGGAGGCCCAAGAGAGGGAGAAGGAGCTTCACAAGCAGAGGATCAGTCTGTATGGGGGCACAGAGGGTGCAAAAGGAGGGGGGGTAGGAGGAGGAAGAGGAGGGGGAGAGAGGCCCGTCAGCACAGAAGGAAAGAGTCCCACGTTGTCCTTTTCTTCACTGAATGGACTGGCTGTTCCTGACTCACCTGGCTCATCATCCAGAGGGGGTACTAGACCCACAGCAGGTTAGTGTAGCGCTAAGTTTAGACTAGAGCTAAAAGTGTGTGTGTTGCAGGGTTTGATTGATTCTGCTTTCGCCCACACAGACAATGTGTTTGTGTGTACAGATGCTTGTGTAGGGGTTTGTGTGCAATTTTTTATATCTGTGGTGAGATGATGAAAACCCCCTGAAACAGCCCAGCGAGCACATTATTTCATTTTTCTCATGGTCAGTGGAAAACCTCAAAACAGCTTCCGAAATCAGTGTTAGCTGTTATGAGCAATAATTTTGCACTGGAGACCATAAGCTGGCCGACAAGAAAATAAAAGTCTGTAACTCCACAATAAATAAAGCATCTAGTCTGTCAGATTAATTGCAAGAGCTGAGGTGAAAAAAGTCCCGAGTCATATCTCGACACTTTATTGTGTCAGCAAGAAGGGAGTGCGTTGGGAGAGTCCAATTTCGGGATGAAGCATTCAAAAAGTGCAAACAACTTGGGTTTTTTTTAGTTCTCAGAGTGATAAAGAGTTAGAGACTTATGACAACAAGAGCAAATGTGAAGTACAGTGTTGCCAATAAGCCTACGGAGAGGACAAGTTATTAATATGCATCTCTGGTATTTTTTAACTTTGCTGGCATTGTGTGCATATCATGTAGCAGCGATTCACAACCAGGGATAGGAAGACTGCGTATTTGCTCAACTAATTAATATCTCTCTATATAGATATGTATATGAATTACAATTTGATTAACATATACATCCACATGTTGAGTCAAATGTAACACCTGAACATGTTGCAATTGAGTATTTGAAAGAAAAGTAGCCAGCGAGCAGAGAAGGACAGTCAGCAGAACAGTTAGATAAAATCAGCTGAAACAGATACGGTAGTTAAAAGTGATGAATAAATAGCTTAAGTGTAGCACAAATTGAGATGTGTGCAAACATGGCCTAAACATTAACCACTGGAGTTAAATTGTATTAAAGCAACTTTTCTATAACTAAGTGTTAATTAACGTCTTGTTCAAAGTAAATTCAAATAAACACATTTGGAACATGAAGGGTGGTGTCGATGAAGGGGTGCTCGAGTTCATCTGGCAGGTCTGAGGGGTCCATCAGATAACAGACTACTGTACAATATGTTTGTGTGCATTATATTGGCAAGATAGGTTGTGTTTTTTTGGTGTATATGAATGACAGTGTCAGTGTCAGTCATTATAGGCAGTGGCACTCCCAAGAGGGGGCAAGAAGGGGCCATGGCCACCCTGATACAGTTCTATGGGTACCCACAAGTCTCCTCTAAACTTTTGAAAGCTTGTTCCCAGTAAGTGTTTGTTCCTCTCAATCAATGTACTTCCTCAAATTAAAGCTGTATGTTTGTCTTTTTAAGGAAAAGTGAAACCAGCCTATTGAAAAACAATGAATTGCCTAACATGCTTAGATACATGACAGATTAAAACAGGATTGTTCTGGAACTCAAAATGTTAGCTGTACAGGTATTACACTGAAGTAGCATAATCGAATTCTTGAAATCTAGTTATGGCTTTTGGTTTTGGTGTGCCACCTTAAAGATGTCCCGTGGCCCCATCTGGCCACCCACATGAAAAATTTCCTTTGATGCCACTGATGATGTCCAGTTTATAGTAAATTCAAATGAACACATTTGTAAAGTGATGGGTGGAGTAAATGAAGGGGTGTGGGTGTATCAGACAACAGACTGCTGTACAGTATGTTTGTGTGCATTGCGTTGGCAGGAAGGGTTGCCAGTGTATTGTTGTGGTGGCTGTATGTGAATGACAGTGTCACCAGTCATTGTAGGTTTAACAACTGTGTGACAAACCAATCAGGGTTTGCATCTACGGGACATGAATGACCATGACTCAGTGCTGGGAAACAAACATTGGTGTATTGTTTTATAGACAAAGCGTTATGCAACCTTTTTCATATTCCTCCTTTATTCCTGGAGCCTACTTTTTGTTTCTCTTTCACCAAGTTCATGTCGTATCACACACATTTCATTTGCTTAATTCCCACTGCGTTCCTCTCCGCTGCTTCATGTTCACTTTTAATTTGAGGCTTTATTGCTTACACTGTAGAGCACAAACAAAACCCAGGAACACCTTTGCCTCATTGCTACCCCGCTCTCTCTCATCCTGCCTGCACCCCCACTTTTTATTCTTTGTCTCTATTGCAGCACGCCAGTCAGTTGGCAAGTTCGGCATGTGGCCCCCGGCCCAGGCTGAAGAGGAGAAGATTAACCGACCGGAGGTGAGTCAGCATTGTCAGTCATCCTATTGCAGTGAAGTTTAGACATTAAAATTTCTTTAATACGACTCCTTGCTGTGATTTTCTGGAAATCTGACCATGTGGAAAAACACCAGGCCTCAGAGTGATATTAATTAAGTATTTTTTGCTTTATAAGATTAACACACTCACCCTACCTATCAGGCACACTTGGTATAGGACATGTAAATGTAGGCAAATCACCCTTCTGTGTCGTCCTCGAGTGAAGCTAAAAGGATATCAGGTTCCACAATTACAAAGCTTCTTCAACTGAGACACATATAAATTGCAATGTCGTTTTGGGGGTGCAGTTTCTCTCAGCAGCATGAATATGAACGCATGTTTATAACTGCACTGGATTGTAAAGGGTCCAATGAAGAAAGGCTCTTGGGAGGATGTCAGCATCTCGTTTGCACCAAATATGGGCCACAGACATCTGATAACATACTGAACACACAGTAAGGAGCTTATCTTTATAGATAAGGGAAGAAGGCAAACAGCCCTGAGACAGAGAGGGAGAGAAAGGCTGAGTTTGTAGAGTGTGTGTGTGTGTGTGTGGTGGGGGGGCAGGATTGTGTGTGTGTGTGTGTGTGTGTGTGTACAGTCAATGGTGGAGAAAGAGGAAAGTCAATTGACAATCTCACTGATTTCCGTTACCTGCCTTGTGGGTCTTGCATCTCTTTGAAACTGCGGTATCTCTGATTAGAGTTGAGTGCTGCTCCGTGGCTTTAGCGCTTTAATTCAGTTTGGCATTGATATGCCGGGTTTTAGCTGCACGCTTTAGTTTGACGTTGGCATTAGCAACGTTTTGCTCTCTTTCCTCTCCCTGCCTTGTGCGTCTAGCCCTCTCTCTCTTTCTGTCTCCCTGCTGGTTGGTTATCAGCTCTCTGCACCAACCTGGGTCCTGATTAGGGTTCAGGAGCAAATGGAGGATTGCAGGAGAAATTGGCCTCAGTTGTTGACTGAGTCACACAGAACACAGCCTTGGATCACAGTCGCATTAACCTCCCTCTGACTTACAGAGCTAATGATGCTCATCCAAAGGGATGTCCTCTAGAGGAAATAATTTCATCCCTCTCTTTATCTTTATGGTCCTTTTTTTGCCCTGTGTTGGCTTATTGATCTTATCTCCTGCTCCCACACATCTGATGTTTCTACTCTTTAATTCTCTTTCTTTTTTCCCCTCCTGCTTTCACATGCAACACTCTGTCTGCCTTCTCTCTTACCTTGCAATCACCACTTACTCCTGCGGTCCCATATTCTCACACAGAGTCCCCGAACCCCCAGACAGAAGACCCCTCTGGTGCAACGCTGGGAGTCAGGCCTAGTCAACGGACACAGCAATGAAGATGACTGAGGAGACAGAGTGCACTGAAGGAGGGATGAAGGTTAACCGAGACCTGTAGTTTTTGGGGTTTTTTTTAAAGTGGAGGACTGAAAGACTGTGAGATGAAAAGGAAAGCAGCCTAAGGAAAGTGGGAGCAGACAGAGGAAGAAAGAGAGAATGTGAAGCGAGAAAAAGGTCAGGGATTGAGGCTTGAAAGGGGGTCAGGAGGATTGGGAGCAAGGAAAAGGATTGATGGTGGACTGAAAACCCCGAAGAGTCAATTCAGCCAGGAGGAGAGAAAAAGAAGGAAGAGGGCCCACCTATTAGTGAATAAGTACTTGGCCTGTTTCTGGTGCTGGAAAACTGTGAGACTAATGAATGTAAAAATGGCACACAAAAAAAAAATAATGACACTGCACTGGAGAAAAGAAAAATGTAAATTCAGTAAGAATGGGATTTTCAAACTTTAATGAAGTTCTTTACAATTTGATTTTTTTTTTAAATTATAATAAGTCGTTATTTGTTGACAAAAATAGATTGAGTGGTACCATAAGCAGCTAGGAGAACAATGTGTCATCACCTGTTTTATGCCTTTAATGATGTCTTACACTGAGTTACTAGTTTATTACACTTGTACAATCTAATGCAATCCCATACAATAGCCATGCAATAAACCCTGCCTTTGTGTAGCTCAGTCTGTTCAGTTTTTATTGACAGTTTCAGGGAGTTGCTGATTCAACTTTGTGGTCATTTTAGAGGCAGTAGTCAGTGTTAGGATTGTATTTGACTGCATTATAATGAATCTCCACTTACACACATGTGAAGGGACAAAAGTTGGAAACACCTCTCAGCATAATGGAGTCCAGTGCAACACCAACACTCACTAAAACATGACCTTCTCCACAAAGAGAATTCATTTCAGCATTTCTGTTTTTGATCATATTGTTGAAGTGTTCCTAATAAACTGGTAACTCAGTGTATATAGGCCAGTAATCGGAAAGATTGTACCAGTTGTAATCCATGAATGACTCCTTCTTTTGTTATGTTTCATGCATCATTCTGAGAGCCAGATCATAGTGCAATAAGGCACCTTCTTCAAAAAGCACAACATTGATCTGGGTTTCAGAGCTGAATGATAGAAAATCATACAAACCTAATGCTTAAATATTATGCTATATGTTGTTTAGACTTGTAATATTTTGGAATGAAAATTGACACAATTAAGGGTCTCTCCTTTATTTTTCTTTTTTGTATATCGAACTGAACAATTATGTGACTGCAAAATATTCAGTTTTAGTCTACTAACGCACGACAGCAGCAGCCTAAAATTAAACTAATTAAGGTTGGTTGAAGTCCTTAATAGAGCCACACATGTGCAGTTTTTCTTTCAGGGCTTGAGTGGTTAGCACATACACACAACTAATACTTATTTTCTTTAAGATAAACTTAATTACAGTAATCCCACATGATGGAAATTCAGTCGTTACAAGACTTAAAAGCAAAGGAAAAGGGGGACAAGTGACAAGAAACAAGATTTTGAAGAAAACAACAAAATTTAAAAATAAGCTAAAATTAAAATGTATAGATATAATACTAGAGACCATCTTGTGATGGGATCACTCCAGCTGCAATGTCCCCTTTTCCTACTTCCTACCCCCCTACTTCTGGCCCCCTTGGTTGGCCCACATCCATATTTCATATCAAACTTCATTTTGATCTGAAGACACCTGTAAATTTTTGTGACTGCATCTTGCACAGTTGTAACGTGATCATGGTGACAAAATCTGTCCCCAGACAGACAGGCAGACATATAAAATGCTCAAAACAGCTTCTGTGAACCCTCAGCATGTGATATCGATACCAAAGGCACCCTTTAGCGTCTTCATGAGCCACACCAGGTTTTCAACTAATTCCACTATAAACCCATCTACAGCAATACTTGAACTGACGCAGTATAAAGAGCGCAAAAGTCTGTGTAGGGTGGAACAGAGGGGAGATGGGTTGGGTCAAACAAAACAGGACTTTCACCCAAGAGACTGCAGTTGGTGTCCAGTGTGAAAATAAAGTCAGTGTTGTTTTAATGTAACTTTATGTAGTTTGCATACAGTCGTGGCACACTGACATCACTCACGTGACATATTATCATCATGTTACATTATTGTTACAGAACCAATGTTCACATTTTAACTCATCATATGATCTTTTTTTTTTTAAACCTAACCAACTAGATTTTTTGCCCAAGACCCACTGTGACAATTTCACAGCATTAACCATGTGTTACAGTGTGTGTTACACAGAAAGTGTGTCACATAAAGGTGCTAAAGGGTGCACCATACTACACTATGAGACGCAGAGGGACGTGACAGAGTTTCGGTATTTGACAACCTGGAGTTAGAGGGAATTGCGTCACTAGGACCACGTTTTGCCATGGTGACACACACACACACACACACACACTCACACACACACACACACACACACACACAAACACACACATACACACACACACACACACACCCAAACACACACAAACTCACAAGGTGAAAACAATACCAGCCGGCACAATGTTGTTGCAGCTTGTAATAAGCTTTATACACTATACACGTTTTGCTTATACAGACACTGTATGTCCATGATGGTCTGCCTCACACTGGTGGTGGTCAAAAAGAAAATGTGTCACCATGGATACAGCTTTGGAAGAAGGTGGAGGCTTTGCCAAAATTAAGCAGCATAATTGCCACAGTGGACCTTTGTGTGTGCGTGCATGTGTGTGTGTGTGTGTGTGTGTGTGTGTGTGCATGTGTGGTGTTTGCATGTGTGTGTAGGTGAGATCAGCAGACCACGCTTTAGTGACCTTCCAATCTCCTGTGAATAATTCATCACCTCATTCTGACTGGACGCAGCCCAGTGACATTGCCAGTACATTATTATGGTGGAGCTGAAGCAACTTAAGTGCTCAAAATTATTAATAAGCTTCATTCCTCACGAGGCAGTTTCCCTCACATTGCCACACTGTCAGGTATAATGATACATCACCAGCAGTCTTGGTATCAGCAAGTGATGTAACACACAGTATGGTTTCTGTTTTGCTACCTAGAAATAATGTCAGAGTCAAAGATTATTTTTTTATGCTCAGATAATCAAATATGGCAGCACATGCAGGGTGGCCACATTGTACTTTCTAAGTGATCCCTCTCTGATATCTAATCTGGCTGCTTGTCAAATGTGGTGACCCAAAAATAAACCTGCACACCTGTCTATCACCTGCTCAGCTGCAGACTCATTTCCATGATATTTCATTATCACCGTCCTCCAAAGTCCTGCTGGCACAAAGTCATCGAAGCAGCATTGTGTGAGACAGTTGGCGTTTGGAGGATTAGCCGGTGCTCTTATGAAGCCTCTTTGTCAAGGGGACAAAAGTATGAGAGGAAGTGAAGAGGATGTGTGTGTGTGTGTGTGTGTGTGTGTGTGTGTCATTTTGGATTTATTGTAATATGTGTATGATATGTGAGTGCCTTTGTGTGCTCAAATGAGTGTGTGTTTGTCGTGTGCGTGTGTGTAAAGATTAGCTCTCCTTCGCAGTGGTGAAATGTTACTAAGTGCATTTACTCAAGCACTGTAATTAGGGATAATTTTAAGGTACTTGTACATGCTTGAGTGCCGCCATTTTCTGTTATTTTTACTTCGCTACATTTTGTAGGGAAATATTTGCAACACTTTATTGTATTCCTTGAAATTAAAGCTCAAATAAAGCCACATAATTATTTATTCATTCATCATTCATTTATCAAACTTTACCTTATGTATGTTACATTGTATGTTCAGTCAGCTGCTGTCATGCACTGTTCTTACATAAACCTACAAAAAGTAATGCACCAGAATTCGTATATGACCTACGTAACCATGAACCAGTATTTCATTTATAGCCCACGTAATCAGACAGCCTAACAAGCTAACAAGAGTGAAGACAGAAGTGGTAAAAAGAGTGAGCAGTCTGGGGTCGTGAATGGGTCAAACAGCACAGGACTTCCCCAGGAGACCAGTGTTTGTGTCCTGTGTGCAACCAAGTAAACGTTGAGTTATTTGAAGGTAAGTCATCACCATGATTCTTTTCCTAAACCTAATTTATATAATTTTACTTCCCTTTACCAATAACTTTCCTTTCATAAACCTATCCTATGTAACTTTACATTAAGTACGTAATTTTACATTAAGTACATAACATAGTGCTTCACGTGAAAATGCCCAACCATGTGTCTTTCCCTAAACCTAACCTACGTAACTTTACTTTTTTAAACCTTACCTACGTAACTTTACATACGTGCTGATGCCCAACAGTGTTTCTTTTCCTAAACCTAACCTACCTAACTTTACATTAAGTATGTAATTTTATGTTAAGTACTGATGGACTCAAGGCTCGCCCTACTCTCCAGTGTGCTATGTGTGAGCTCAGTCCTGCGTGTTCTTTAATGAAGCAATAGGAGAAGATATTCGGTCTCAGTTAATGTAGTTTATTAAGCAGTAAAGGAATAAAATTACAGAGCTCTGGGTCTCAACTTATTTCCCTGACAAGCAACAAAGGTGTGTCAGTTCACGAAGTCTGACCTCCTGTCCTTCCCCTGACCCAGTATATTTGAGCGTAACAGAGTGTCATTGTGCACGCAAGGCGTTGTCCTCTTCTCATTGGCAGTTCCACTTCCTCCTTCACCACACCACAACCCTGCCTCATGTTAATCTGACTCCTTCCCGCTGATGGTGGGGGCGTGGTTCATGTTTTGAAAGACAAGAGAACAACACAACTCCCTACACGTGCTGTACCTTACTATCTGTACATCACTTTCTATTCTTTTTACCATATATGAAACTAATTATCTAATCATCTCAGAATTCTCATTGTTCACACATCTAAAACTTATATAGTGAAACACAACTTATAGTAAAACACATGAAATCATTCTATTCCCAACAGTACATAACTTTGTATTAAATACAAAACATGATGATGACTCGTGTTTCCTTTTGTTTATTTGTTTGTTTATTGTTGTTTGCACTTACAAACATACATTCAGGAAGAAAGAGCAGTAAAAAACAGTTAAAATGTGCAACAAAGATCATAAAGCCCAAAGGGCTTATAAGCAACCCTACCCTCCCTTCAACCTAACCTCTGTAACTTCACATTGAGCACATAATTTTATGTTAAGTACATAATGTGACTACTCCATTTGTGGGGCGCTTATTGGTTAGATACACAAACCATTGTTTGAGGATACATTGGTTCAGTATCCTCAGCTGACTTTCTGTGCACTGACTAAAACCCTCAAGGTTACCCTAGGAATGAAGTTAAACTGATTATTTGCAGGTGAAACCAATTAACACTTTTTTTTCTATTTACCATATAATTGGTATCAAATTCCATCTTTGCAGGAAAAAAAATTTCAGTGCTGTGCAAGGAAAAACTATTTAACTTTTTATTTTGTACTGCTCTGTTTTATTCCCCAATATTTGACAGCTACTGTATAGTTAGTATAAACCTTGCAATATATGTAAATACCATATAAAATATGTTATGTTGTTTTCAATTATACTACCCAACAGTATATAAAGAAGTGTTAATTAGCTCTGCTGGTTGATTTTATTGCAGTATTGCTATTTTTACACAGAGGATCTGAATATTTTCACCACTGCCTCCATGTTACAGAAGATGACACTCTACACTGTAGCGAGAACAGTGTGGCTATAGTCATGAAAAACATCCCTTTATGTATGTGCTAAACGGCCAATTTCACATCTGTCTGTGCAATCACAAGACATTCAGTCACTGTTGTATGTGTTTGATGCTATACCCACAGGCCTCCAGTCACAATGTGTTATATGTGAGTGCACGGTCAACAGTCAGTTAAGGAGATTCAGAGATTGTTCTTTTGATTTCCTCACATATGGGCCTTTTGCATATCATAATGCTTCACGTGGGTGTGTGTTGTGTTGCTTTGATGTTCGAGAGAAGGGGGAATAAAATGGCAGAACTGAGTCACAGAGAATCAACATAACAGCGAATTTCATGCAGTCTGTGTTTTACTGTATAGAGAGGAGAGAGGACCTTTTTAATGCTTATTCACTGCAAACACACATCTCTACCTTATGTAAGAATGGGTCAATCAATGTGTTATTTTGTCAGTTACTGTGTCTTAAAAAACATATCTTCTTTAAACAAGTGACAAATACATGGTTGATGACAATATCTCTCCTAAATCAGTCATTTCCTAAAACTCAGAAAATAAAAGAAATGGACTTGATAACAAACAAAATACTTCACCCACAAAATGATCATTTGCATATAAATTACTCACCCCATGTTGTGTGAATTTGTGAAGAAAACTCTTTTGCACACTGCACCATGAAAGAAGAATGCAAAAGCAGAGAAGATTTTTTGATGAACTACAGTAAAAGTTGGTCCCCCTGTAACAATAGCAGAACAATATGAAAACATCTGTTTACAAACTCTCAAACAACTCGTGCAGAATAAGCCAAGACTCGTTTATCCAGTCATATCCTCAATACAGGCTGTTATCAGTCTCAACAGTCTCAGGCACGGATGAATGGTGCACTTGAGCAGAGTTCAAATGCACGCACTTCCCCCTTCTTACATTAGACTATTCATTAGGTAGTGTTTTAAATAAACAACAACCTCTGGGGCTGAAAAATTTAGCCATTGCTTTAAGTGCCAAAAACTGCAGTTCCTCTAATGGCCACTTGAGGTTGGCTCCAAAAGCGAGTCAGTAGACCCCCATGTTAAAATGCCCAACTTTACAGTACAAATGGACATGTTTACACACATCGGCCAAAATGCTTGAAAACTTGAGGCTTCAAAATGTGAGTCCTTTTTTAGATTAAATCATCAAAATGTTCTCTGTTTTTAGACTCTGCAAGAAAAACTGTTTTCTTCACAAATTTAAGGTAACATGGAGCGAATATCTGATGATAATTTTGTGGGTAAATTATTATTTAAGACGGAGGTAGCTGCAGTTTTTTTCACAATATGCAATTTGCTTAGCACTTAGTGAAAAGTGTGAAAAGGTTAAAAGTAGCTGTAAGGATTGTGCTTCAATTTCATGCCTTTCAAAATTATTCCACTCATCAGCTCACATTTGCTTTTGCCCTTGAAATGCGAATTATTTCATAAGGCTGTCTGCCTAATATTACAGAGTGTTACTGTAAAGCTACTGACAGAGAGCAGTGAACTGTCAGCCATCAAAAGGCCTTAAGCTAATGTGTCTAAAGTGGTCAGAAAAATGGAAAAAGCAAAAACGTTTTTCTTTGTCGTAATCTATCAAAGAT